CTTCTCATAGTGTCTTTATTATTTTTTTTTTTTTTTTTTTTTTTTAAGATTTTGGATTTTATTGATACATTCAAAGAAAATTCAAGTATGTTATCACTTTGTGTATCAGTAAGATGTATGTTTCTACTCAAACATTTCAAGCAGTGAATTGATGAATGATGCTAATATAGCTTTATAATTGGATTATGATTAAACATTCCAAGTTTTATGATGGTTTATGCTGATCGATTTTTGGGAAGCTATTATCAGTTGTTCCTATTACATTATTGGTAAATTGTATTGTTTAGAAAGTCAACAGTGATATGAATTGAAAATTATTATTTGCATTTCTGATAACTAAAATTGTATGTATATAAATTCAAACATAACATTTTAACCAATCTGAAGTGTTTATTTTTTATTATTACAAGGGTAAAAATATTGTACAAACACAAAAGATTTATGCTGTGTATGGAGGTGGTGTATCATTTGGAAAAATACTGTTTGCAAATAGCTTTTGCATTCTAAAGCTGATGAATTATGGCTTAAGGATACAAAATATTCTGACAGATTATCTGTTGTTTGTCTTAAATAACTTAAGACATTAAAGGAAAAGCACTCATGCTACTTAAGATTATCAAGAAATTGAAAAAATATTAAACAGCAGTACTGTCTTGATCATGTCAATCATCATAAAGTTTGGACATTGCATGAATAATTGATAAATTGCATTGCTACTTGTAATTTTCTGTTGAAGTTCAATAAAAATGATCTATTTTTGAAGTGGATAATAACAGGGCATGAAAATTGGATAGCTTACAGCAAAATCCATTATTAATATGGATGTGCTTCCAAGGAACATCTTTTTCTGCATATGTGGAATTTGAATGGTATTATTCACACTCTGAGCTTTTGCCAAATATCCAAACCATTAATTTGGACAAGTACTGCTCACAATTGGCCTGACTAAGAAATTGAGGAGAATAATCCAGAATAGGCCCATTAAAAGGATGAATGTTTACCATTAGAACAAAACAGGGGTCTGCAAAAACCAATTGGAGCAGTTTTTTGCTTGAGAAACAGGAAATTCTTTAAGATTTGAATCAAACTATCTGATAATTGGGAAATCAGCCAAAGATGATGTATTCATTATTAAATAAAGTTAAAGTTGTAGACAAAAACTTTGCCATAATAAAATTCATGAAAACTATTTAAGAAAATTCAAATAACCTTGTATATTTATATTACACAAGTAGGCAAAATTAGAAATCATAAGAAAACCTCTGCATACAGTTTCTTTTTTATGTTTATTAGATTTGCTGTGTTTATTTTCAAATAAACAATTTTTCAAAATTTCTTAAGAATAAAACAAACTGAGAATGTATGATATTTTTGTTTTATCATAAGCTGTTGTTGGATAATTTAGTGTGTTATATTTGCAATAATGCTGCACTGTCAGAATGTTTATTGTAATTTATAACCTATATTTAAAATACTAATGATTAAGTATAACAAAAAATAAATTTTTAAATCTATAAATATCATATTGTCAAAATAATTGACAAGCATTCAATATTTTCATGTAAGATAAACTCTGAATAAATATTAAATAGGAAAAGTAAAGTTTTTTAGTTTAAAAGTTTAATATTTTATGAATTTATTCAGTTATGAAATTCTTCAGTTCTTTATATGTTATAATAACAGTTAATTCTATATACATTTTTTTTTATTTTAAGGGAATTGAATCTATTGAAGAATGTGAAGAAATACCAGATAATTATATTGTATGTATTGATGATGATTATTGCTATTTTTTTTTTGTTATTAGGTTATAAGTATTTTTAATAAACAAAATTTAAAATTAAAAGGCTTTACTTCTATTCAAAATGTTAATCCATAAAAGAATTGTAATACAAAAATTTTTGAAATACACGGAATTCAAAAAAAGTTTGTACTTTCATTTCAGTAATGTGCTGTAGTAGTACTGTGCACTCTCACTAATCTGAACTAATTATTGTAAAGATTTTTTTCAGATTAGCAGAGTTATATATCAAGAAAAGGAAGGAAAAAAGGCTACTACCAAATATAAATATTTAAAAAATTTTTTTATATTGTATTGGTCTAGCTTGTTATCAATAATTTTCAGTATAGCACATTGCTAATGTTTAAAAGTAGAAATGCAGTTCTGTTTATTAAACATGATTAAAGTTAGGATAATTTCTAAATAAATCATTTAAAAATGAATTTCAGAACTTTCAACATTTCATGACCTGTATTTTTCTATTTATAAGAGAACTTTTATTTATATTGTATTCTGAATGTAAATATAAGTTTTTACTTTATCCAAAATATTAGGAAGTTGTTTGATATTATTTATAAAATTTATTGGAATTAGAAATTAATTCATGAAAATTTTATAATGTATAATAAATAAATTTTTAAATTATAAACCATTTTATTTTTAGGCAAAGCATTTTTGTATGACAGATAAGATATATTATAATAAAGATATACCAACTTAGTAAGTATTTTTAAAATAAATGTATTTATTCAAGATTTTTTATGTAATGAATAATATTAACACTATTATTAATTATAATAGTAATATTATTATTACTATTATAATTAATAATAGTGTTAATATTATTCCATAACAAGCACAAACAGAAATCTCCTGTAATCTAGATATGCCATATGTCAAGCATTTGACAATCTCCTACATTTCATGGTTGATACACATGTATAAAATACAACTAATACTTATTACATTTCTAGAATGATAGTTCATTTTAGACTTTATTAAAAATACAATAAAAACAAACCAAATGCATATAAGGCAAGGAATTTTCTAGGGAGATTCCCTAAGTCCACTCTAGTTCTATTTGAATTTAATCCATTGTTGAATAGATTAAAACATACAAAATATTTTAACAACACAATGTGTACACAATATTACCCCATCTTTTGTACTGTACGTTGACAATATAAAACTGCATCCACACAATCACCTATTAAAGATCACACATTTATTCCACTGACTTAAATAGCATAGGCAAATTCAAAACACTTCACACAGGAAAATGAATAAGAATGATTTTGCACTTGGAAATGAAAGACATCATTGGATCCAGGGATGAGTCTGAGTTTTACAAATATTAAGACTCTTGCAGAACATCACAAATAAAAGAGAGATTAACAAATAAATACAATACCTTACACTCAATACTAACAACATAGCTCATTGCAAAATATTCATTTAAAGCAATTAGCATGTTTGCTGTCACAATATTTACATACACAGAACTAGTACTACTGAAAAAAACTGAGGTTCACATCAGGCCCAAATGGTTAGCCTATGCAAACCTCAACATATTTTAAGTTGAGGTTTTCATAGGCTTTAATAGGCACACTTTAATGGAAAGTAAATGTTGTAAGAATCCCAAAAGAGAACAAGGGAGAATGCTTAGTTATTACCTGATTAAATCTACTTTAATTTTAATAACATGGTTGAGTTACATATATATTAGTATGATGTATGACTTGTAATGTTCTTTCTCTTGCAAAAGAACCATATTTAATCTCTCCTAAAGTTAGTTAAAAATTCAATGGGACAAAGTGGCAAGGAGTTCTTTGACCTTTGACTCCTCTTTTGTCATCCTTTTTTTCCTGGCATTAGCCAATTAGGATTATTTTTATGGATTGGCTTTCTCCTAGGAGCCAATTAAATTCTGTATTGTATTTCATTTTGAGTTCAAAAGGAAGACAGGTGACAGTGTTATTACATGAGACAATTGCAATAACAGGTAAAAATGTTTCTGTAGAAGGAAATTAGGCTTAAATTCTTCCAGTTGTTTAGGTTTTTTTACAGATAAAGTTTAAAATCATATTATTTTGTAATTAAACAAATTTTATGATTAATTATTGATATTAGAAACCTCACCTAAATAACACCAACTTTATCTTAAATCTCCCAAAGAAAAGTTGTACAGTTATAAAGCATTACAATAAACAAATACAGACAAAAGTATATATCTACAGAAAACAAGAAACATCCTAAGATTTTGATGAAATGATGTTTTATATTTAATATTGTTTTAGTTTATATTTTACACTTTAAATATTAAAGGCTTATTGTTTAGTTCTATCATTTACTTTGTTCTGAAAGTAAATTGAGGATAGAAATCTAAATTCACAAAATATATAAAAGACTGTACAATAAAATAACTCCTTTTGTTCTTTATTATTTTTCTGAAGTGAGAGTCTTATGGCAGAGTCAGCCTTTATTTGGAGGCTACTTGTACACCTCAATATGCAAAATGTTAAAAACTTCCATCTGGGGATGGCATGAGTAAAAAAGTTATTGTAAAGTCTTTTATATTTTTTTGTTAATTTACAATTATCATCTTGGAAATTTTACTGAGTAGAAATCTTGTTCTCAAAAAGCTTTTTGAAAATAAATAAATTTTAAACTTAATTATAAAAAATATCAAAGATTACATTTAAAAAATTTTCAAAAATTGATTGATATGAGAACTGGCAAAAGTAAAATTTTATCTATTTAATATATTGTAAACATGGAAGTCAGTATATAGTTAATTATTTTTAGAAGAGATCACTTTGCTACATCAAAATATCACATTTCAATCAAAGCAGTTCTTTATGTATACTTTCTGAAATGTAACATATTAGACAGGTTTTTAAAACATATATTGAAAATCAAGCATAAAAACATTTTTATTGTCTTGAAGAAAACTTTCTGCAGTGTTCATTATAGCTAGAGCATTAGCATAACAAAATCCTATTAGTTATAGAAAATTATTAAATTGCAAAACTTTGATGATATTTTATGCATAAGTTAATGCTTACATATGTAGAATGAGAAATAATGAAATATGTAGTTCACCGATATAATCATGTCTCATATGGATTATAACATACAAAGAAAATAGATTCATGATTTATACCCTGTATAATTAACAAATAGTTGTTTTTATTATTTATTAATTAAGTACAACATTGGTCTCTCTCCAGTAATTAGCTAAAAATACATGGTATCTGTTTACAACTTATTATATAGGATGATCAAAAAGGACTTTAAAATTCTATAAATAAAACGAGATAATGCTTTCAAAAATTGTAATCAAAAGACTTACAGAAACAGTTGAGGTATTCATTTGAGAAAACTTGATGTGTTTTGCTATAAACAGACATTTTGGTTCGACATGAAGACAATTGATGATATGGCAGATATGCCACCTGAATTCAAATTCAAAGTGACATATCTGTCACCACCTTAATAATTGTAGTGGTGATTTGAATTTTGAGTTCATCAAGATTTCCAGGAAAACATGGAATAAACACTAAACAACAAACACTACACAATAAACACTTTAATGAAATTCCAGAAGCACATGTCCAAGATTTTCCCAATAAATGTTTCCCAAGCCAGTGGATCATTGAGCAGACCAAAAGCATGGCCACCTCTCATTCTGCAGATTTTACACTTTTAATTTTTCTTCTGGGATTTCAGTAAACATCTAGTGTTTATCTATCCTTGCCTGCAAATCTTGTCATGTTCAAAACTTGAATCACTGTTATGATTATTGAAGTGATGATATATGTTGCTTTGAGTTTGATAACAGACTGAATTTAGATGGGATGTCTGATTTAATGCTCTCATATTTTTATATGAAAACATTAAAGTACTTCCATACTATCATGGAAGTACTCAGTTTCTTTTAATGCTAAAGACAGCAAAAGTGTTTTATCTAATAGTATAATCATAGGATAAATAAAATAATAGAACAAGATATTTTAAAAATATATCTGTGTAAATTTATTTTACTAAATTATTGTTTTGTAGTGGTTATCACCGTCCATTATGGCCTGTTTTTGGAGAATATAAATTTGTACCACCTCAACGATGGCTTCATAATCTTGAAGTAAGATATAATTGAATGTTTGCTTCTGATAAATGCTCTTAAAATAAATTGACAGCATTTCTATATTAACAATATATTTTTCACTTCATATAGCATGGTGCCATTGTGATGCTGTATCATCCATGTACTCATCCATTTATAGTTAATGAGCTTCAAAGTATAGTGAAAGATTGTATTAGGAAGCATATTATTTCAGCAAGCAACAATCTTCCATTAGAAAGGGTAAAGTTTTTTTATGAAATCTATTAGAAATTTATTGATGAGACTATGTCCCATCTCTAAAATCACACTGCTGTCAATGGCTGCACATCTTAGAGGTATGAAAGAGTACATGTCAGGAGTTGCAATTTGGCACAGAGTACCAAATGATATGGTACCCAAATCATGTGCACAAAATAAACCAAACTTTTAGGTAGTTGGGACCGAGAATCTGGTCAAAAGAAAATATGAAATGCTGAGACTGTTTCTACAAACAGGTGCAAGCATGAGATATATACATGCATTGCTCGCACTCTCTGAGATATAGTCTTATCCCAAATATGGCTTTGCCAATTTATTTGTTTATCAACATACAGCAGCATATATTATTAACTATTGGGTTGTTTGGAAAGTAATTTCGGTTTTTTTTCCGTGGGAAAAAATGCAATATTTTTATAAATAAATAAATATTTTATTGAATTGTATTTGACCAAAATGGTCAATATATCTGTTGTCATCGTTTCTGGTAGTAGCATGATTTCACATTCATAAAAGTTTTGATCGTTGCTTACGAAAACTGATCCAAGTAATTTTTGACACTGCCATTTCAAGTAAATGTCTTACAGTTAAAAAAAGTTTGTATAGACTGGAACAGGTAATAATCTGAGTGTGCTCGATCTGGTGAATATGGTTGGTTTGATAGCACGTCCCATCTAAGTTATAACAGTTTTTGACGAGTTACCAAACTTGTGTGAAATTTGACATTATCGTGGTAAAACACTACACCTGTTTTGTTGATCAGTTCTGGCTGCCTTTTCTGTTTGATGATATTACTCAATTTGTTTACTTGATGGCACTACACTTTTGAATCAATTGTTAAATTGTCTGGTAAAAGCTCCAAAAAAAAAAATTTCCTTAAAATCCCACCAAAGAGATCATCTCTCTTTAAGAACATGTGGAACCCATATATTGAGCTTTGAAATGAAACCAATTTGTTTCAAGTAATCATAAACAGTTCAATTTGACAAATTTAATCTCTTAGTGATTTCACGTGTTGTTATTCAGCAGTTTGCTTCAATCAGTACCTTTTATTTTGTTTTCATTGGCTTCAACTGGCCATCCAGAACATCTTCAATATTGAAATTGCCAGAATAAAATTTTGTAAACCAGTTTTGGCACTGTCGTTCTATCAATATGTCTTCTCCATACACATCACACAATTTTTTTCTCGCTTGAACAGTATTCTTACCTTTTCGGTAATAAAAGAGCAAAATATGCTGGAAATGCTGCTTTCGATCTTCCATATTTGATGGGACACAAAAAATAAACAATTGCACAAAATCAAACAAAATTTTTTACAAATAAGCCTTAAAATGCTAGCTGTCAAAATATATAATGATAATGGCGGGAAAAATATGACTAATCCGTCTAGTGGTAAAAAAAGTGAAATTACTTTCCGAACAACCCAATAGAAAAATAACCATAAAAGAAAAATGATTTTACAATAATAAATCATATATGAAATAGAACAGATTCTAATATTGCTTTTGTATTAATGTATGATCATGATACCATTTTTACAAGAGCAACAATCATTAAATTCTTAAAACAACATTTCTCCATAATATATAAATGAATATTCTGAAGTTACAAGTATATAAATATGATCTAACTAATCATCATATTTTTTCAAAAATTAATTGCACTTCTTTATTTTACAATTGTTCTTTCTTTTAAAAACATCCAAGGGGATTCATTTGTTCTTGTTAAAATAAACTACAGCAGATATTAGTAAATGGCATTAATTTTTTATAGGTTATCATATAACTATTAATCTATTTTATAATAAAATATATGACAATAAAATGAATACCTGTTTAAAAAGTTGAGAAACATAAGTGCTTCATTGCTAATATTTTGTTCCTAACTAAACCTTGAGATATTCTGATATAATTTTAAAATTATTTTTGTTATTTGGTTGCATGAGTAAGATGAACTATATGCAAAATTTCTTGCAAATTTAAAACTGGATTTTAAATTTTAAGAAATAGTTTGATTGGCATAGCTTAGCACAAATAGGGGGTTTTAATATGAAACTGTATAATATCTAGCAAATTAAACTTACAAAATAAACTTCCTGAAAATTATTTAAAAAATAAATCAAATTTTGCATCCATTATCTGTCCATCTGTCAATTGGCCTGATAAAGATTTGTAGTTTGTATAATTCTTTTAAATTTTAAGAAAAATGGTATTGTTGGATTGTAAATATGGAAGAATTCTTACATTAAAATTTAGTTCTACAATTTCAATTTTTATTTATATTACCATGGTGTTATAAGCGTAGTCTGAAAGACCATAATTTTAAGGTCAGATGTGATTTGTGACTTATTTTTAAAAAATATATATATATTAGCATTTTAAAATTATTCCTAATGATATGTATCATGCTTTAGTCACTCACATTACAAAAATAGCAAAATTATTACTTTTTAATCATTTAGTAAAATTACAAAAAACTTGTGCATTCACATTATTTTTGTACATTAAAATAACAAGATTATTTTAAATTTACGAGATATGTATAAACATTTTTTTTCCTTCTGCTAGATTTAAATAACAAATACAATTTGCATTTATCTACAGTGTTGCTCTATAGAAAATGTAAAATGATATCTTTATTATGAAGTATTGTGAGTAATTAGAAAAGAAGACAAACTGCTTAGGGAATGTCATAACTGAAACAAATTTAATTATCCAGTTGCCTATTTTACACACTTTTTTATTTCAATCATTTGTTAATTTTTAAGAGTTGTTAGTTATGCATTGTTTGTAGGTCATTACTAAACTTCAAATGAATGTTATGTCTTCAGTTGTATATGCCTAACACTGGTTTATTAACAAAAAATATTAGCATTCTTCATTCTACATGTTCCAGTAGCAAAATGGGCAATTATAAGTAGACAGATACTTGTTAATAAATTTTCATGTACAAGATTTGAAACATAGTTTGCCATTTATGTTTTTAAGGTGACATCATGCCAGTAACCTCCATTAATCTGCAGACATTCTTTGCATCTTTGACATATGTTATGCATAGTGTGTGCATCATATTCTCAAGTATGTTATAGATTGCATGACAAATTTTTCTCTTAAGAATTTCAATATTTTTTGGATGATTTCATATAATCTCCTCTTTGTTCACAAAATGTAGAAACTTTTAAGACAAAGATTCATCATGCAATTAATAATATACTCAAGAATATGTTGTACCACTCAATACATAACATACTTTGAAGATGCAAAGCATGTTTATACATCAGTGGAAATCACTGGCTTGATGTCATCCTCAAAACAATGGCAAACTATATTTGAAATAATAACTAAAAAATATTCATGTACAATAACTTTTGAATATTTATTGTCTATTTATAATTTAAAGACTTTGTTTTATATCTAAAATAACCAATTATTTGACTTCCTATAAACAGTTTCTCTTTTATGGAGTGACTGTTAAATTTAGTTTTTTTTTCTTGTATGAATTTAACATAAATTTAAAGAAATTATTGCAGAATAAGAATTTAAATATTCTGGCTTCATTTAATTAATTATAATGTAGCATTATGTATAAAATTTTTGCACACTAGTATTTTAAAGCATAAACAGAAACTAATTTTTACTTACTGAGTATCTGAATTTCACAATTTTTAGTTTATTAAAATGAATAAACTAATGAACTCATGAAGATTTTATAATTCTTCATGAGTTCATTACACAACTCAAGAAGTATTATAAAATTGATTGCATTTCCTGGAATAAATAAATAACTAAAATTATTCTTTAATTAATTTCTGGAATTAATTATTTTATGTAATAAATATATAATTGATTTGAAATATCGCAAAATTCATTATTTGGTAAGTGGAATTTTATAATAACCTTATTAATAATAAATCAATAATTTATCGAAACAACAAATCTGAATTTTAATTGAAAAATGTTTCTTCAGAATTTATCTAGTTTAAGTATTGCTATTTTTAATAGACAATTTTAAAATTTATTCTTAAAAAAATGCATTATAGATGATGATGATGATTCTTTTTATAGCCCCTGACACTACTTTCTTGGGGATGTCGACTCTCAATGAATCATGTAAATCCTGAAACAGTGATATCATTTATAAAGGTAACTTTCTTAAAATTATATCCAACAATTATTACATATAACAACTTTTATAATTTTTTTTTTCTCCCCTATTCAAGAGGCATGCATTACATGCTCCAGAAGGGAAATTATCCAAAGAGGGTCAGTATAATTTAACTCTACTTAGCAAAGCAGTTCCTCCACTCGGATCGGACATAGACGACTCTGTTATATGTCCTGGATATGTATAATGTTTCCTCTTAAAGATGCCAAAATTTATATTTTATATGTCGCTCAGAAATTGCTTTAAAAATTATTTTAGTTATGACATATATGACAAAAATATTGCTGCCTAACCAGATATGTTTTGTAATTAAACATATTAATTTTTCTAAAACTTTATATCTTAAACAACTAATTATGTTTCCAAATATGAAATATTTGTGAAACTTTTTTTAGATTCTAACATTTAAAACATTACTGTATATTTATTTATTTATTTAAAATATATTTATGAAGTTGTTAAGTTGTAAAGTATAAAGAATAACTTCCATACTTTACAAATTTTAGACTGTTATAAAATAAGACAAAAAAGTTATATTTTATAAGAACAGAAATAAGTTATTACTTCAAAAAATTTTTAAGACAATAATTAATATAAATAGATAAATTATTTGATTGCATTAGTTAAAAGGTTCTGTTTAAATGAAATTAAAGCTGATGTTTTCTACATTGTATTCATTTCTAAAGTAGTAAATCCTCAATTTAACATATTCTTAGAAAGAAAGGATGAAAAGCCAAATGTCTACCACTTGTAAAAATATGTTTAAAGCTCCACAGAAAAATTCCAATTTATATTTTCTATAATTTTTTAAATTGCTCCAATGCATACTGTCCATTTTATACATAAATTTTTATGCTTGATAGAGATTATTGTCATCGTTATTTATATTGAAGCATACTTTATCTTAAGCTATCCTTATTTGAAATTGCTGTTAATAATAAAATAATTCCACAAATAGCTGTTAACAACATACTCCCTCCAAACAATTATATATTCCTATTAAAATTCAACAAACTAAATTTTGAACAATGCCAGGTAAAGTTAATAATGAATGGAAACTCTCTCAGAGTACTATAAATTAAATGCTTGTTATCAGCCAATTTCATTTGAATTGATATGACCCTTTACAGTACATAATGTAAATAACCTCTCTGACCAACATAAAAATTCTAGTGCTAACTTGGTTATAATAAGCAGTAAAGATATCTAAATTTCTGCACCTGCAAAATAGAGAGAGAGCTTCCATTCCTTTACTGACTTTTTCCCAACAGTGCTTTAACACCAAAATGGCAGGTATTCAATAATTAACTTTAACTGAATCAACTACACTGCAACTTACTTTACAAAATTTGTGCAGTATATACAATATTATATTACTTCACTTACATGCAGGGATAATGATGCGAATTTTGAGTCTCTAGCCATTGACACTGTTTCATTACATGTAAAATAATATACGTAAAATAATTTTCTTTGTATTTTAAAAATTTATCTTCTCAAATTGGTTTTTAAAATTTTATAGACAGTTTTTTTTTTCTCATGTATTATCACTGTTTAGTCAACTTTTGCAATTGTATCCAACCAAGTCCAAAACATGCATAGTCCAGTTTGGGAAAATCTGTCCATTTTCAGATTTGAGATTTGCCAGATTGAGATTCATTAAATTGAGGACTTCAAGTACAAGAGAACACACATCGCATTTTTATAAAAATGCAATATATTATTAGTTTAATTTTGTTAAAAGCTTATGCAAATATGTTTTAAGTTTTCAGCTATACACATTCCTAATTAAAAACACGATGTGCAGTTTACTATTGATAATACATATGATGCTAGTACTAGTGCCCATACGAGATTTAGTTACAGAAATTATATGAATTCAAATGCAGTTTAATGAAATGTAACTGTTACTTTTCATTACTATTTACAGTTGAGATGCTATAAAAGTCTACCTATATAAACTGAAAATACTCAACAGTGTATTTATTAACTTAATAAAGTGTAGACTCAGTATGAGTAAATTGCACATATCATAGAACAAATGAAATATTTGATTTTTACATGTAAAAGTTTCCTATATTTAAAATGTAAACAAGTTAAAAATGCAAAAACAGACAATTTAGGCATTTATCTCTATTCTTTGATGTAAACCCAGTCTTTTAAGGCAGTCAAGTTATATCATGATTTATCAAAGAATCAAATCCTTGGTGGCAGGATGCATTTTTCTACTGCCAACACAGATTCTACCACTATAAAAGTACAACAGATATAAGGCGACTGTTAAACTAGACAGACTGTACCAATATCTGCTCCATGTGTCTGTACTAATTTGTTTACATACAAAATAAAAAGAAAATAGGAAATTTTAGCTTCTGTAATTATAAAAAAAGGCAAATAGATTAGCTGAACTAAATAGATTAAGTAGTTTTAAATTGTATTAGTAAATAAAACTTTCTTCCACATTTTACAAAAGTTACTATTAACAATGATAATGGCCGCATGGCCAAATTGATTAAGGTGCTTGGAGAGATCCATAGAAATTTTCATGGGTGCTAGGCCCCATCTCACCCACTATCCTACTGCAGACACAAAAGCAGCCTCTTAATTCCCAGAGAAGGAATGCTAATAGAAAATTGAACTCCAATAGTCATGTGTTATTTTCTTCAAATAAACTAGATAAATTGATCATAGTTCATTATAAAAAAGCAAAACTCTACTCTAGGCAGTAAAAACATGGGCAATTCTTAACATAAATGTTTTTTGTGACCATAAAATTCATTTTTAATAATATATAGTTGTATATACTGTATTTTTTTTTGTCAAAAACAAATTTAAAAATACATTTTTATGATTACTCATTCTTATATCTAAGAATTTAATTAATATATTAACAGTGCCAATGACAAATTTATAATAATTTTGATATCTGCTATATTACTGAGACTTTATACATTCATAATATATATAATTTTAACTTATAACATTACATAAATCTCGAGGTTGTTTATCACTATTGTGATGAGACATCATAGCGTGTTTTTAGTTGAATTAAATCCTATATGGTAACAACTCCAAAATTAATGAAATGATCTTAGAACCAAAAATAATAACCATTATTATTTATGCATTACCTTTTTAAAATTATACATTTTCTTTCAAATATAAGTTAGGAGATTTTTTGTTATGAACTTTTACATAATTTGTATAATGTTTATGATCATTTTTATACAACTGTTAAATCTATAAATTATTTAAAATTCTAATTTATGTAAAGTTATGGCGATAAATTTGGACGATTGCCTATGATGAATTATGGAAATCATCATTAGGGTTGATATAATATATATTTATGCAAATGATTTGTGTATTAATTATACAAAAATTCTTGAATATATTTTATCAAAGGTTTATATGCATTTTTTTTTTTTTTTTTTTTGGTTCCTAAATTCTGCTAAGCATGCTCAATTGCATCTGGGAGCATTGGCATTGTCACTTTGACTCTCTGTTTCTCAAGCAAAGTCATAGACCCTCATTTTTTTATTATGTTTTGGATTCCTCATCACATTTAATGGGAAATGGCAAAGTTTAATCAAAATCAGTTTATCAAATTTTGAGAAAGAACACAATTCTGTAACCACATAATAGAAGCTTCACTAACAATCTACTTCAAAAAATAAAATAACCACATCATCAATGATAGAAAAGTAGTATTATATTCAATGCAAAAAATTTTGAGAAACTAGTGTAAGTCTAATATTCAATTAGTTGAACTGATCCAAAAGATAAATTCTAACAAATTTAGATCATACGAAGGCAATAGTGACAGTTCAAAATTAGTCATCTGACAGTTGTCATTTCTCTGTCTTTGACAGCTTGCATCACATTATAAACTAATCAATGTTTTAAATCATTACACACTATGGAAGAAATGGTTAAAATTGAATATTTGTTCTAATAATAAGACTACTTTATTTATCTATTTATGGCTTTATTATAAGAAAAGATTTATTTATGATATTGTTATATTTTTGTGATAACTATGACTGATTCTATAATTGATTTTATCAGTACATTTATCGTTATTTAAAATGTACATTTATTTATTTTACAGGTGACACAGTTATTTTGAAAAATTATGATGCCTCACCTGTTGGTTTAATTCAGTCATGGGTTGATCGTTTCAAAGATGACCAACTAGAAGAAATTTTAATTGAAGAATGGGAAAAAGATAAATGCCATTTTAGATATAGTTAATAATGTATCATTTTTTAAAATTTGATAATTTTTTATGTGAAGCATTTTTCTAAATTTACTNACATATTCTTTGAAAGTTTCCATGAAACTTAATCTTAAGTTGTTCACGAGTTTTTAACTTTGATTTTCTTGAAAATGTTTACTGAGCAAAGGATGGAAGCTTGCTTCTTTAAATGCTTGTACTGAGGCTTATCCACGCACATAATATCAAAATTCCCAACGATTGTGCCGTAACATCTCCTTCATAGAAATTGATAAATTCATCTCATCATTGTATCAACAACAAACATAACAGTTTTAAACATCAGATTAACACAGTATTTCTTTAGACCCTGGAGGTGCGCAGACTAGATCCAGAGGTCTGTAATACATTCGAAGATATTTAGTAATATGCATTTATTTTCCTAAAAACATAAGTATTGGTAAGTTTTCAATGTAAAACTACTAATTTTTGACACAATTAATATGGATACAAGTTAGTTTGTTTACTATGTTTCTCCAATTCCCACCGTTAATTCATGTTTATGCTTCTGCATATGTGAATTGTTTGCACTCAGCTGATGGAAATTAGCTTGAAGACTGAAGTAAACATTTATGCTATACATTGTGTGGAAACAATGCATTGCATTGTTAATTGTTTCCCACACAGACAATGAATTGCATGAAATTGAGAGCATTACAAAGATTGTAATGTAGCATGGCTTCATCAGAAAGCTCATTACCAATTTTGCACGTTAATATAAAAAAATAAACCTTTAGTGCAGTGCATGGGTAAGTGCTGTCATTTTTTGGCTCTGTGCATTATTTAACACATCTTTAAGTATTTCAAAAAAACTGCATTCATACATATACAGGAAATCCTTTTCATTTGAACTTGGATAGTTCAAAATCCCATTAGGTCATAACTGTACTGTTTGTCCTACCAGGGATATAGAGATTTACATGTTAAGGAATTTGGTTCAAAATTCAAAGTGAAAATTCAGTCTGAACTGTGATATAAGTATGTTAACTCATTCCTTTAGATCAAAGTGTTTTATATAAGAGAATAACTCTAATATAGTCAACATGCCTTTGTTTTTACAGTAGTGCATTTTCAGGTGTTACCTTGCCCATGGACTACCCATTTTTCTCTTATCTCATAAAATACAGCTTCGTTTCAGAATTACAAGATTGGGCTACAAGTAGCAGGTTGAGATACAGCTCTAGGCTACTAGATTTGGGCAACTTGCTACTTTTCAGGCCACTTTAAAAATAAGTGAATTTTCTAAAAATAACACTAAATAAATTTGGCTAAAATACACTAAAATTCACTCAGATTAATCAATGATGAAACAGTTGGTAACAGGTATTTACAAAGAATTTCCTATGTCTATGTTATATCCTGGTTTTCAATTGCAAGATGATGCAAGGTCACCCATTCCTGGTTTGACCACACTAGTGGCCAGCTTTTCTCTCCAGACTTGTCCTGTTGAAAATGTATGGTTTCTGACAAACAAACTGGAGAAAGTGGACCAAATAAATACAAATGAATGGATTGCCAATATTAGATGAATTTGGGAAGAGCTTTCCTTCAAATATGTAGTCACTAATTGCAAGTGTGCCACAACCCATCGAATTATGTATTTGCAAGCAAAGGCAACAAGATTCACTAATGTTGACTGTCATAAACTACAATAGTTCCTTGATTAAAAAGGTGCTTCACAGAAGTCTTGCATCTTGTATTCCTAGAAGAGATTCCTTGCCACACAAACTATCACTGCTCTAGTGGCTTCTCATCTGCATGGCTCAATGGAAGAAGGTGCATATTGTATCGCATTTGTTAGATGTTCACATGATGGCTAAATAGAGAACCTAGAGCATCCTAGTGATCTGAGGATGAGCAACTCAACAAAGTGCAGAAACATCATTGCTCCTCTCATATTCTTCGTACTGAACCTCATAGAGTTCTTATATCAAAAATTGACATATAAGTATGTTAAAAATCAAAAAACATAACTTGTAAATGGTACATTTATTTTAAAACTTTTACAAAAAATATACAATATTAACAATATATTATAGAAAAATACATTTCACAATAGCAACTATTTGAAACTGTCATATGTGATAAAGGATTTGTAATACTGAAAATAATTTCTGTGTTAAGAAGTTCACTTTCATTCCTGATTTGGATCTTTATCTTCACAATAAATAGATAAATGCAAAAAGTTATTCTAGATTACAATTTTAGAAAGAATGCATTTTTATAATCATGAATTTACATTAATTCTGAATTATAATTTAAGAAACTTAGTTTCTTTTTCCAATTTCTATTTTACAACTGATTAAAAATTAAAGCTTTGCTCGACTATTTATTCATTTTTCATGAATAAATGACTAGTTTTGCAGTTCCTATTTTAGGCTGGAAGAACTGTTTTCATGTCGGCTGGAGAGCCAAGGGAGTAAAGGTATTGGCCTGCTGCTCCAAAGAACAAATGTTCAAATCCAGGTTGGAATCTCAGAAAATTTTGTAGGTGGTATCTTATGTACGTGTTGGATGTCTCTTCCACCCATCTGTCCCACTGTGGATCTAGTTGAACCCATCATGGGCACAGAAAATGATCACTAAGAGGATCCTGTACCATATCGTATGCTATCCCATTGTGGTTCTGACCAAGCTGGTAAGAGACTTGGCCTCTTAGTGCTTGAAAAATTAAGCAGAATCTTCAACCATCCCGTAAAATAATGTCTTAACACACAGAAAAATGTCGGATTATAAATTTACTCCTATAACGTTATACATAATATTTCTAATTTAGATTCTGGTAGTTTTGAATATAAAAATTTCATTTATAAAAAAAATTAAAATATGTAAAGATCCAGAATTAATTATTGGCTATGTAAATCATATAACTATTAATATACTTTATGTTAACTTGTATCAAAGCATTCTATTCTAACTGTAATTTTCATTATATTTCTTTAACTATTAGTGGCTTTGTTACTACAGAAATCAAACAGTAAATATGAGGGCCAGAACTATTGCCAAGATTATCATAATGATCACAATTGCAATAATCAAATTCTGTTTGGGAAAAAAGAAAGAAAAGTTATTGTTAGTTTTTATGTTAGTAACATGGAGAGGATAAAAAAGTTACTTTGGTAATCATATATGTCTATGTTAAGCAAAGCAAAATTTAGATTATTTTTCTGTCGGGATATAAATTAACAATCCAAATTGCCAAAAGATAAGAGAAACTGTTAGATAACACATCTGACTTGTTGACTTTCAGTGGTATGAATCTTATCAGTGAAGCACAGAGTGGCAATTTGAAACTATTACTAGGTTAATGTTAAATCTTTTGACATATTAATAAGTCATCCAAATTGATTACTAATTAGTATCTAGTTAAAAATATTTCCTGTAAAAATAATATTTTGTTTTTATTTTAGAACCTAACTTGTAAATTNCTTTGTCATATCACGATAGAATTGAGGTGGAGCCGGAAAGAAAGAAACAATCCTTGCACTTGTTAGGTACAGAAGAGGCAATCCTTATACCTCATAACAAAGCAATCTCCATTGACTGCTTTGTTCTTGTATTTAGTTCATTTTTCACACCTATTTTCTCTTAGGCACATGCAATGCTTTTTTATTTTTGACCCCTAGGCCTAAATTCCATTAGACATGCTCAGTTGAATCACAGAGCATGAACATTGTCATTTTAATACTTGTATACATTTAAATGGACCTCATTACATTTTTGGATTCCTCATCACAATTAATGAAAAATGACAAAGTTTTATCAAAATCAACCCATTAAATTTTGAGAATGAATTCTATTCTATAGCAAAGGTCATAGAAGAAATGCTAGCAATCATGGAATATTGCAAGTCAAAGTTGTGCAATTCATGCGATATTGCTTTGTCACATGCACTCTTGCTATGACCTTAAATCTCAAAAACAAAGTCATGATCACGACCTGGATTCTTCATAGTAATTAATGGAAAATGGCAAAGTTTTATCAAAATCAACAGAACAGATTTTGAGAACAAACACAATTCTGTAAGCCATATAGAAGTGGCTTCACTAAAGCTCTGCCACAATTAAAAATTAAATTTATTTCTAATTATTAAATTTATCTGTAGATAGTGCCTAACCCACTTACTTATAGCCAAATTACTTTATTAATTATTAAATCATTAAATTAGTTTTGTTATAGTCCAATAAATAATCTAGTAGTTCATCTAAATATATAAAAATTACATGTCCTGATTGAGTGACTGATTCATCATTGCCCAGAGCAAACCACTGAAACTAAAGAGGTGAAATTTGGTACAAAGTTAGGGTACGTCATGAAAATGCACACTAAGAAGGGATTTTTCAAAATCCCTTCTTAGTAGACTCCTCCTTAGTAGAGGGAGAGGTTTAAGGCTTAACCTGAAGAACACCTTCTACTGTACTATTTTAGATGCAATTTTTTGTTTTTAACTATATTTTAGTAGACTACGCAATGAAAGAGCACACTAAGAAGGGATTTTTGGAAATCCCTTCTTAGTCTTTTTAAACCTTAATCTCCGAGAGAGAGAAGATTAAGATTTAAAAAGTCGTAGCCCTGAAAGGCAATACCACAAATGTGGTTTACAAAGAGGTACTGGGGTAACTGAAACTATTTTTCAGTAAATATTTATACTTTAGGAATTTTCAGATAATGTCATTTATGTTTAAAAAAAATTTGAACTCAGATTTATCATATCTTGGAATTCCATAATATTTGAAAATTGAATTTAGGTGCATTAGCAGTCCATAGTTTGAAACAAACAAAAATCAGTAATTTTACAAAATTAGTAACAACTAATGATTGAGAATCTTAGTGAAGTACCAAGGGAGGGATATTTCTATCAAATCGCAAAATCCGCATGGGCAAGCCACGGGTAATAGCTAGCTTAACATATAGAAGATTCCACAAATTTAAAATTATGTAAATAATAGCAAATGTTTGAATATGTATGTAATTTAAGGATCCACTCTATTTTAATTCTGATTATCATCAGATCGAATATAGCAAATTTGAGTAGAATGACTCCTTAAATTACATAGTGAACATTTGAAAATAATGCTAATGCAGTTGACAATTTTAAGACCAGATAAAGCTCTATTGTATATAATTAGTAGTTGAACACTGAATACTGCTAATTGGTCAGGGTTTGCACCTGTCCAATGGGCTTGCTATGTGAAGTTTTCTGGATTTTCTTTTTGTTAGTAACATCTAAATAGGGGGCAGTTTTCCATAAAAGACTTCTCAGGAGGCATCCCCCTCAACGTATTGCCCATGTATCACATTGCCGTATATGAATAAAACCAAAAACCAATCAAGAGGGGTAAATAATGCATTTACTTTAATGGAATATAAAGTTTAGAAACATTATGAAAAATTAGGTTCAAATACTTTTCTGAAAAGAGATTCAATACTTACTCTTCTGCATCTTTTTTTGAATTTTCTAGCTTTTTCTAAACGTGTGTTGCCCTTCTCGACAGCAGTTCTACTTCGAATAATTCTGCTTTCTATTCTATCAATTACTTTACCCTTTTAAATAATTTTATAACATGTTAATTTCAAAAAATGGAATTAAACAAATGAAAAGATTAATATACAAATTAAAATATCTCTTTCATAATAAAAATATAATCACTTCAGCAATCTAATCAATAAATTTTAAAGTTAAAAAATGCATTGAATACTACTATTGAAAATTTTATCTATATATTTTTTTAAATTATACAGTAAACCCCAGAAAATATGCTTCAACTTTAACTTATCACAAAAAGTTTTATGATAAGTTAAAGTTTAAGATACCACATTGTTAATATGGATAAACTAATATAAAACAACTTAGTAACTGCATTACACGTTTTCAAACTGGAGTTTTGGTGTTTGATGGTTGTTTCCCATACTTTAACTAAACTCCTTGTAGTCTTAAGTCTTAGAATTATAGAGATCATAATGAATGGTAATAGTTAGAATCATTAGTAGTGGCTACAACCTCTGTACATGCAAAGATGTGGTGGATTTCAACAAGTGTCTAAATGTGTTATGTGCCATCAGAGATGTACATGTAGACGTTAACTAAGTACAGAAGTCAAGTTTCTATGTTATAATAAAGTTTATTTTTCATATTTGGCATTATGTGTTATGATAATCTGGTAATCTTAATATTCAAGTTGTAGCATATCTTTTGAAGTATATATATATATCTAAAAATAAAAAAGGTGAAAAAATATACATACTTGCTGTTGAACTAATATACTAAAGTCAACAAACATATTGTGCATTTCTTGTATGCTCTTTTCAACCTTCTCTATTTCTGCATTTCGTGCTTCAATATCTGATAGAGTCTGTTTCGCTTTCGATGTGTCTACTACAAACTAAATATAAAAATTAAAATTAATAGTAAAATAGGATTCTTAAATGTGATTTATAATATTGTAAAAATGTAATTTGAAATGTGAAAATTCAGTGAGTTTTCAGTAAGAAACCTAATAGATAGAGTAATCTTAATTTAAACAAGGATCATGTTATCTAGCACAGTTTATGTAAATTATCTTAAGAAAAATGATTAAAATTTTGTGATGGGTTCTGTGATATATATCAGATGTTGTCATAGCTATTTGACTTTTTTTATGAAGACAAAGTAAAATTGGACTTCAAACTCGTATTTGAGTTATAAATAAACACTTGGCTTTATTTCCATCATTTTTAGTTGATGGAACTACATCAACTAAAAATGATGGAAATAAAGCCAAGTGTTTATTTATAACTCAAATACGAGTTTGAAGTCCAATATATTCACAAAACATGGTTTCAGAAACAACAAAGTAAAATTATTAATATTAATTTTTTTAAAAATTTCAATGATAAAATTTATATTAGATTAGATTTATTCTTATTTTTTCTCATAAAACAAGTTAACTGACTAGTTCAAAAATCAAAAGCTTTTAATATATGAACATAAATTATGTTCTAAAATGAAAAATCTTATTATATTTTAATTATGTTTCACATCATTCTATTCTATCAAATGTGTGTATGTTGAAAATAGTCTGATAATTGCCAAAAATATTTCGAATTTACTGGTTATAGCTGTATATTCGTTTGTGAATGGTTGTCTCTTTAATCCGATGTATTCTTTTGGTAGACTATCTTAAGGCATCAGGTTAATGAATTCTTTTATTATATTTTTACATATGCATTTCGAACTGGTTTCATATTTCCAGTTCCTCTTCAGTGCTCTATAAATTACAATTATAGATATTAAGTTGACAAAAATTTATACAGATTAAAAATTAACAAAGTATTTAGATGTTAAGTAACACAACATAAACAAATTACTAATACCTTTAAGGATTTTACACATTTCTTTTTATCCTCAGTTGGATTGTTATGAATTGCAGATTTAAAAGAATTCATTAACCTGATGCTGTAAGATAGTCTACCGAAAGAATACATCGTATTAAAGAGACAACCATTCACAAAAATATTTCATTTATTAAAGTTTCTTTGGTTTCTGAATTACATAGTTATCTTGTTTATTCATTTATGTATCAAAATAGAAAAATTTTTTCCTTTCTATGAGAAAATAATTATTTTCATTAAAAAAATTGGCTGTAAAATTATCAGTATAATGCATTAAAAAATGCTATATGATATTTAGTTTACCTATAAGACAATATTTTTATTTATCGAATTAATAGTTTGAACTGAATATTTTTACTCTGTGTTGACACAGATTATGTTACTTAAGTTCTAAATGCATAATAAAATTAGTTTATTTATTTATAAAGTTATATTTCAAAACTGCATAAATTATGACTGGGCTGTATCTATTATTAGTAATAATTCATTTAAAATACTATAGACAACTCTAGAATTCACTCTATAATTAATATAACATAATAAACTGATATTCAAATGTTTTGAGGATTGAAAAAATTTCTTGTTAAGATGCTAGTATCTACAATAAAACATGGCTGCGCACATACTGAATGTAACAAATCCAACAGTAACAGATTTGTTATATTATATATACACACACACAACAGTGTTCCATTAAAGATATGATCTTCCTAATGATGAGTTTTTTGATACTCAAAAGCACTTACTGCTAATTATATATCACTAGAATACAGTTTATTCCATAGTTATTCAGGTTATGTCATTAATGAGTATTGCATGTTTTGTTAGAAGACTTAACCAAATAAGCAATGTTATAGTATAATGTAAATTTAATTAGAATTCTTTTGGAATAGCAAAATATGTCGATGTAATTAAAATGTCTTATTATTTTGCCATTCTTAAAACTTGAATGTTAACATTTAATGTAAAGTAAATGAATTTTTTATTTATTCTAATGAACAGAGAATAATATATTATTATTGTTGTTAGTGTATTATAACAGTTTAGCACATGTATTATAATTTAATCCTGTAGTTTTTTTCAGTATTTTGTTTTGTCATGTGATTGCTAATTAAATCAGCAAAAAACATTTTTTCTCTGTTAATTTTATGTTGGATATTAAAGATTTTAGTTTCGTAAGTGCTATATATAGCACTTAAGAAATTATGTAAACCCTTCTGTCACTTTTGAATTTCAGCTTGGAGCTGTCCATTCATCTCCTGTCTGCAGACCAAGAATGTCTACCTATCTTTTGTGTATGGGCAAGAGCCATCATTAACATTTTTTTAGAATATAAATTTTAACTAGTAATTTTCATAATTTTTGCAAGTATTTTGTTATGATAGCCAAAAAATACTATAACAACAAATAAGTAAATATGGCATTTTTCACAAAAGATCAATTTTCTTTATGATATTCTGGATGCAAACATCATACATTCACCTTCTCTTTGTCAAAAGAATTTTTTTCATTATGATGATTTGTCTCAAATTAGTCTTTTGTGTATTTCTATGATTATACAATATATTTAAACAGTTCTTACCCCAACTCTGAAACTTTCTGGTCTATCTAACATCTCTTCAATTTCTTCTTCTGTGATTACTTGACCAGCTAGACATAACAGAGAAGCAAACATTTACTTTTATATTTTTTAACTTTACAATAAATAATGATTACTTATTACTAATAATTTGACAATATAAATTATTAATTATAAAATTTCAAAGTAAATATCAAAATATCTCTAGAAGAATATTGTTAACAGAATTAACTAGTAGAAAGGTAGTATGAATTTGATGTTTATGGTAAATGAATACATTGAAAAATCACTTAAATTAAGAATCTAAAACAACAATTTAAGTTGTTCAATAAATTCTTTATATTTTTATGTGAAAACAACAAATAGTTCATCTTTGAAATCTTATTCAATACTGTTACTAAGATTTTATCAGCTAAAATCATTGGTACACAAATCATGGATCAAAATCTTCAAAAGGAACTGCAAAATTTTGTAATCAGTGGTGAGAAAAATACAAGAAAAGTAAAATATGATATAAAAACAGAATAAATGTAAACCATCCAAGCCTCATGCTATGCTATTGTTGAATAATTAGAACTAAAAACATTTTATCAAATTTATGTCTAAGAAAAAAAGTACTGGCAAAAATGTTTGTGGAATGCTGAGCTAGATAATCAGATATTTCTGTATGGTAGAAACCAGCATGCTGACTTATCCCAGGGGAATGCCAGCATGCCAGTTTAAGTAAAGTTATAGATCCTCCAGAGAGGAAAGTATAACCTCGCTTAAACAAACAAGTTATGTGGGTGCAAGTGAACTTTTGAGAGGAGTTGAGACTCAGTAAACTAGAGCATGAAAGCGATAATAAAGAAAGGAAAAATGACTTATATAAAAGTTTGGAAATTTACTAACAGGTTATCCTTGGATTTAATTATAATATTACTAATAATTGTTGGAGTTGAATCCAACCCAGGCCCTCTGCCTGTTCCCCACAACGATTAAGTGCAAAAAAGGGGGCGTAACAGACCTTGCAAGGTAAGTTCAAAGGACGAGAAGAAAAAGAATCAACTAGCAGAAATTTTAAGTGAGGAATATTATTAAATAGATGAAAATAGTAAACAACTCTCTGAATCTACGAAGAGTCCAAAAATTTATGAGTACTTCGAACCAGTAAGTGAACCAGAATCACAAGTTATTGATGAACCTCAATATACATTAAAATCCATCTATGATTTAATTCAGGATAAATTTAGTCAGCTAAATATTGAGATTCAATCGATTAAATCAGAAGTAAACATATTGAAAGAAGAGAACAAGAATTATAAATAAGAAATGAAGGGAATTAATCAAAAGCTACAAGAACTAGACAAAAAATTGAAAAATAATAATCATCTTAAAGGTACGTTTGAATTTGAAATTGATAAACTTGTAAATGAGAAAACTAAAAAGAAGTCTTAAGACATACGTATGACATTAATTCAGATAAGATTATTCAAATAGGCCATTTTTTAGGAGTAATTTGGACATAGATTCAGAGGAGAAAGGGAAAAAAGATGTAATATACTTAATACTGAGACAACCCAAAATAACTCGAATTTTGTCAGTATTCCAAAATGAGTTCGGAGAATTAGGCTAATAAGGATAATAAGAATAATTTTATGTCTGTAAAAAATACCAACAAAGTCAGAGAGAATTTATTTATAGGTTTTTGGAACATTCAAGGACTTCAAGGAAAAATGTTCAGTGAGCCAGTAAAAAATCATATAAAATCTCATACTATAAGTGACCTCAAGGAATTCTGGATTGCTGAATTGAGTAAAGAAGACAAGGTGTTTCTAGAATGTGAAAATATGAGTTGTATAGCAGAGCTCAGAGGACAAGTAGAATGGGCCATCCAACAGGTGATCTATTATTGTTAATTAAGAGGAACTTTGGAAAACTTTTTAAACACTGCATAACAGATAAATTTATTTTTGTGGTGATCAAGCTGGAACATAGAATTAATATATGTTGGGGAGAATTATACTTAGGAATTATATTTATCAATCTGTCCCCTTCTTCAGATAAAAAATTGATATTAAATGAAGTCCAAAGAAACATCGATCAGAATTGATAATAATTAATAACAAAATTATTGAATTTTTTAAGAGTAATTGCCCATGATGTCAAAATTAATTTCAAAATTTCATATGTTTCATGGCTGTAAAGACACAAAGGAGTTAGCATAGAGTCTTGAACTACACCTAAAACCTTGAACTTTACCTAATGTACTAACAAAAAAGCTATGTATGTCGTATTCCATATAACCAAGATTGATACAATTTATAGACAATACAAATATGCTCACAAACTCATGTTGAGGTAATTATTTTAATAACTAAACAATAATAGAAATTGAATTATATTGTACACGTGTAAAGTAAAAATGCTTTCATTTGTAGCACAAATTGATACTGTCTAAAGTGTATTTACCAAGTTGTATTGACTATAAATTTATCAGACCATGTGATAGAGATCTTGGTTTAACTCGGGTTGATGAAGATGTATATTTTAGCGATAGTAAGATTTGATTGTTACTAATATACATCCCTTGTAACTGGCCACGGCCTTAATACGAATAAAAACTGATTGATTGATTGAAGACAAGTTATGTCAAATTTTAAACTATCTTGTGTCTATAAAGTTGTATACAGTAAAACCTCATTTATGTGAAGACCTTTGAGAATATACAATTTCTGGTCACAAATAAGTTAGGTAGGATTATGAAAACTGAAATACAAAATTGTAATTAGAATACTGTACTGAATTCTGCTCAAGTTTAATACAATTATAAAACAAAAAATAAATAAAATAAAATAAAATAAAATTTATGTAATACATGTATCCTTTGCAATATGCAGTTATTCAAATTTTCATACAGGGTAATGTAGTAACACCAAATAACAGAATATTGACATATAGAGTACATGTATAGTAAAACCAAGCTATTTGCTGTATGGTTTATTTAAGCAATATATAGTACAATATTAAACAGAATTTTTCATTTGTAGAATTTTTTCAAAATAATTCATCACCAGAGGGCTATCACCGAAATCTACATTTAACAGCGCACTTATTAAGTGGATATAAAAGTTTGAAATTCCCTAACTGAACACGATGAAAACTCAAGATGTCTGTATGATCCGCAAGTTCCAATTTTTTACTTTATTGTTTTAATTGGATAATTTTTTGTGCGTTTTTTTAAGGAATGTTTTAACTTGATGGCCTAGTAGCCTCTAAAGAAAGGTCCGGTTGTTGAAGGTATTCTGGAACACATGATTAGAATAAATGGTGGTTTTCAAAAAATATTTTTAGACAAACTGTGTCTTTTTTGATTAAAGTAAACAGAATTGTTTAGTACTAAATGACATAATCAACATGTTTATGTAATGGTAGTAAAAGTTTTATTTAAATATATTTTAACAGAAAATGTCAGAAAGAAAATGATTTAAACAGCAGTCATTAGATATGCAGAAGTGTTCAAGTATCAGAAAAAAGGTTAATAATTAAACTGGCTTTTACATCAGGCTCATCAATATTTTTCATTGAGTGTTGCAAGTGATATATCAGTGATGTAGATGATCATCATTGATTTGCAGTTACATTTTTACAAAATACAACCAGATTTTGTATAATATTATTGAACAAATATATAATTTTGTTTTTTCTTATTAAATTCAGGAGATAAAATAATCTTTATTTCCATTGGACAAATTAAATTTATTTGAATGTCATTTGTGCGAGGGAACTCAGCAAACTGTCCCAAAACTAAAACAACAAAACTTAATTCTATTTAAAGTGCTGTAAACAATACATTGAGTTTAGAAACATTGGATTTTCTTATTCTATTGGTCATGTAAACAGGGATGAATATCACTTTAGGACACTCTTATTTTGGCCACTTGCTTTAGTTTTAATATAAATCAGTTTCCATCTTGATGATCTTGGCCAGTGGCATCAAGATGGAGTCTGATTTATATTAAAACTTATTCAATTTACAAGGGAATTTCAGGGGTGGAGACAAAGTGAAATTTTATTGTATATAAAAAATAGATTCCTTACCAATCATAAACTGTCTGCGAATTCTCTCTTTCCATCCATCTTTATATTCCACTTGACATTTCATATATTCTTCCATTGCTGAAACAAATCTTGAACGAAGAGTAGTGTACTGAAATGAATTTATTTACAATTAATATCTAACATGTTTTATTTCTCTAAAACAATAATAAAAAATGTCCATATTTATAGATAAATTAGTTGGCATAGTAAAGACTAAAATATTCTATTTTTTCAAAGTCTAATTTTCTACATAATTATATAAACAAAAAGCATTGAAGAGTTTTGATCATCAGTATCCAGTTCTGCATAATTTTGAATTCTTGCATTTGTTAGTTTTTCATTTCATCTCTGCAAACTGTATAATATTTTAAAAGACAATTAATTTGCAGGGAACAAACATTTTCAGTTGAATTATGTAACTGTTTGTTTTCCTTTAAACTATTCCTATGCATTAAAGGTTTTTGTGTTTGTTTTGCACACTGAAATTTTTCTATCTACACAAACTTTTTTATTATAGACTTTCAATAGAAAATCAATGTAATTAAAGTTTTAACTGTAAGTTCCTGTTCTTGTAAATGAAGCATAAATGATATATATTAGAACTGATGACTGAAGTGAAAATCAGATAGATGTCCATGTAGTAAAACTAGTCTAGTAAAACATCAATATAGTAAGCAGAAGTTGATTGAACCTTTAAGTACTACTAAGCCAAACAATTGCAGTATTAAATCAATTAAATCAGGCATTATTGTATTATTAATAATAATGTAGCATTATTATTAATAATTAAATTCTAAGCAACTCAATCTTA